CTGTGAGTGACTGCCCATATCACCCACGTGCGGGTGCAGGGAGACCTCATCCCACCTAGGCCCCCATCACGGATCACTCAGACCCTGACAGCAGAGGCAGAATTAGCAGGTGATGCTATCTCCTGAGCAGATCTGGGGCCCATCTGCATCCTCTGCCCAGGGTGATGCCAGGAGTTCTTGCTCCTGTCTCCCTGCCTTGAAGAGACAACAGGCAGGAAAGAAAATGTAAGTCAGCTAATATCAACTCACATGTCAGAGGATATCAGTTTATAGTCTTAAGATGTAGAGCAATATTGCAGACCAGTGTCCCAAAACATGTGGTTTGGAGAGTCATTACTGAAGCTAAGTCAGGACAACTGACCTCCAAGTAAGGCCATTATCCCCTATTTCATCTGATTGCCTTCTGCTACTTCCAGACCTCTGCTATCCATGGGTCTAATCATGGTAAATGTCATTTCCAATTTTTCTTTTTTGTAAGAGGAAATGAGATACTGTGGACATTTAAATCAAAAGTGAATTTTCCAGGGAAATTGAAATGGTCATATTTCTCTATCAGTCTCTTGATGGTTTCCAGTTGGTTGTTACAATGTACCAAGAGGATTTTAAAATGCAAGTGGGATTTACAACAAAGAAGAGCTAGTGACTACTGAGCATCTATGCTGTGCAGGGTACTGATTTGTTGACTGTATATTCCCAATATTCAGGGAATGATACAGTCTTCTAAGTTCTGATGTCTGAGGACACCCGGGTAGGCTAAGCCTACTTCCACAGGCTGCACAGCCAATATATCTAGAATGCTCATGCTTGATATTGAGCAGTCAGATAGTTAGTTCTAAATTCACTTTCTTTCCTCCACTACTCTTTTCAGGGCTGATATGGAACCAGTGACCTTGTGCACACTGAGAAAATGCTCTACCATTGAGCTGCATCCCAATTCCCAAATTCCTTTCTAATCCAGGGATTCAGTGATCCTAATATTCACTTTCCCAGTGTGATTTGATTTATAAAACTAATTTACACCTTTATTTCTAAGAACCTGTCTTTTAATTTGGGTTGTATTTATCGGGCAACTATTCTTGTGCTGGTGCCATACTAGTTACTAGGTTCTAGCTGTTAACAAGATGGTTATGTGTCTGTCATACTGGGGCTTATGTAAAAGACAGAAATGCAGACAACAATGAGTGACACTTGTAATAAGAGCAATCATAGGGATCTGGAAAGGCCCAAGGGAATACATGGGAGGAACTCCTAGCTTTGTCTTCCAATACTAGGAAAGGCTTTCAGGAGGAGTAACATTTATGTTGAAACCTGATGGTTGGAGTGAAAGCTGGACGTAAGAGAAAGAGGTACAGAGAGATAATGTTCAAAGGGTAGAGAGATTAAAGGGTGCCTCATTTGCCTAGGATTTTCCCATTTATATCTGGGCCCCCTCTCACATTAGAATCTTTCAAATGCGCAAATCCATCTTAGAGAATCTATTCATAGGTCAGTTGTGCTTCTAATTCATCTGGAACCCCAGATATCAGAAGTGCATGAGTAGGAGGAAGTCCTCTGCTCCTCAAAGGAGGAGTAGGGCTCAGTCTGCTGCAGCGCTAAGCCCCTTGCCAGCTGGCTTGCTGATACTGGAGCACCTAACAAACAACTGCACTTCCCCACAGCACAGTGACTCCTGAGTATCAACTCCAAGACACCAAAGAGCTGCAAGAAACATCATGTACTCCTTACTTTAAACCCCATCTTGCTTCTTTTCCATGCATGACTCCTTTTTTTAAAAGAAGACAGGGCCTCACTAAGCAGTTCAGGCTAGCTTTGAACTCCAGATGTAGCGCAGGTTGTCCTACAACTCAGAGCAATTCTTACGCCTAAACTTCTCAGATCCTGGGATTATAGCTATGCACCACTGTGCCTGGCAAAACAAACAAAAAACAAACTAAAAAAATACTCTCCCCCAAAACCAAAACAAAATAAAGTGAAACAAAAGCCTGGTTTTAAAGATTCCTTCAATGCACTTCCCAGAGCCAACTTCCAAGAGTTCAATAGGGAAACAACATGATGAGCCAACACGGAGGGTAGTTTAAACTACATACTTCTCCTGCCTTGCAGCAAAGACTGCATTGTTACAGCTTATTTCTAGATGTCCCCCAAAGCCTCATGTGCTTACAGGTGTAGCTTCTTGGAGGAAGTTGGATGTAGGGTATGTGATGCCAGCATTAAGGGGTGTGGTAACTAAATGGATTTATCATAGTCAGGTTCTAGAAAATGGAAGCCCCACCATGGCTGTGGGTGGCACCTGTCAAGAGGTTAAGAGTGTGGATGGACTGTAAAGAGAGAGAAGGAAAGCAGGCTTGCTACTGCTGCTGCTGCTGCTGCTGCTGTTGCTGCTGCTACCGCTGCTGCCTCCGCTTCACTGCTTCCTGGCTGCCCTGCCCTGGGCTGTTTTTCTTTTGTGGCAGCCTTCCACCATGCCTCAGTGTCTTGGAGTTTGAAACTCTGCAAACTGTGAGCTGCAATCAACTTTTTCTCCCTTAAATTGTGGGCATCAGGTATTTTTGTAATAGCAGCAAGGAAATAATTAAGACAGACATGTGGTTTTGTTTTCATTGTGATTCTACATTGGCATAGAACTAGAAAGGTAACCTTCCTACCCAATCCTGACAGGATGCTAGTGGGGGAAAGTGGGGAAGAAGATCTCAAAAAACACCTCGACTACAGTGAGTCAGAATCATCAGGAGCTCCATTTTCTAGGGCTTGATTATTCCTGGCTGTTCCTGAGACTCTACCCTAAAACATGATTCTAAGCAACAGCAAGACTTCTAAATCAGGTATTCATTACAACAGTATTAGAAATAGCACACATCACGCCAAACCTGCAATCCAGCATTGATGAACTTGTCAAGGGTAAAATGATGAGCATCCTTCAACAGCATGGAAAATATTTAAAACATACTGTAGAAATAAAATTAAAAACTGGATGTCCATCTCAACGTATCAAATACAAAAATGTGTTAAGAATCACACGGAGAAAATGGGAACAATACCAAATCATATACAGTGGCAGATAAATTTTAAGATTCATCTCTATTAGCTAAAAACAATTTCCTTTAGAAAAACAAATTCCTTATTCAGAGACCTAAGTATGAATTCTCCCATTTTACCAGAATTCAAGTTAGTTTTACTGCTCTGTGTTAACAGGAACCATTTCAACCTTTGAAAGCCCACTTCTTTGGGTAAAGATCTCCACTCTTCATAGGAGGTCATTTGATTAACATCTGCCTTCCTTAGCAGACTGAAATCCCAAAGAGGGGGGATCTTTTCTGTACCAATCACCTTGGTACTTCAAGAGCCCAGCACTGTACTTGCTTAGAGTTCCCTATAAACATTTATATGAATAAATCGATGCATGAAAATATCATATATCTTCATTTTTAACAGCACTGCTAACTAGAAACATAAAATAGTCTTTTTATGACTATTTCTCCTTCCATCCTCTAGAATGACAGCACAACCCATTAAATTTAAATTCTACAATGTCTAAATCATGTGGTTGAACTGTCCTGTTTCCTGGTGGCTTGCTTGCTGTGAAGGTACATTTTTACAATATGAAAGGGGAAGGATGGATTATCCAAGACTAAGGCAAATACTTGATCCAGGCTGCACAGGGGAGACCTAAAGGTATAGCCCAGGCAAAAATCAGCATGGCAGATATTTCTGTTGCCAAGTACAGACCATGCCCATAGGCATTTGATAAGCAGATAAACAAAAGGAAAATTAATATCCTATTAAAATGATGAAAGAGGCTAAATTAGGATACACACTTGCATTAACCATACCCTTTCCATTTCTTCATAGAGTTCCTATATGGAATGGTCCAGAGTAAGACAAAGAATTTCCAAAGAACAGTAATTTCTAAACTCGCTATGACCATAGAATGATTTTATGGTTTGAAGAAAGACCCTCAGATCTAGAGATTCTGACTCAAGAGTTTCATAGTGAAATGAGACATCTGCATTTCTAATAAGCACTTCCACCTAGTCCAGACTATAATTCAAGTTTCAAAGACAAAGGTCAAGGTCATTTTTCTGGAGAGGTGGGAGAAGGTGCATTTTAACTGATACTTTTCTACTTTAAGTATTCTTTTGATTCACATGGACTAACTTTATTACATTGGCCAGCATAGATGTTTAAATATTAGTGTGTGCACCATAATTCATAGCACTATAGTGTACACTTCATGTGCAATATTCCCTTTAAGAAGAACCTTAAGCTTCCTTGCTAGATAATTTGCATACACAATAAAAGTCCTCTAGCATTTATGACTGACCACTGCTATAGGTTCCCACTGCTGTTATCTATGCTGACATCAGACAAGAAGTCCTTTCCATTGTTAATACTGGCACTGATAGGCTGTTCAATCACTATATTATTCTGGTTCTGTTCTATCAGTTGAGAAAAAGTATGTTTAGAAAACACACAAATACTTAACAGGAAAATCTGGAGCCTCAAGACACACACAATAATCTTTTAAAATTGGCGACTCAATATTCAAATGGGTTGCCCTGGAAATGTCGTACACCAACAAGCAGAAACCTAAGCTGAAATCCAGGAGGATTAACAAGGGTGGTGGTTGTGGCTTCCACCTTCCTTAGCTCAGTTCTCCTTACCCTACGGTAACCCTCACTGGCTGGGCAGTGGAAGAAGCCCACACCTGCTACAGGATCTCTTTCTACACTTAAAGGTCAACACGTAAGCACAACAGGGAGGAAAGGGGTGTGGACATGAGGCAGAGGGAGCATGGCTAGATTCTTTGAATTACAAATTGGGAAGGAAAACACATGACATTGACATTTTCATTTATTTTCTTCAATGACAACTTTATCTTGAATGCAAATAGCACTTCTGAAATGTTTTCTAGTTATTCTTTCCCAATACAGTCACCTTTCTTTCTCTCTCTCTCACCTCAATTATGATCCCAGCAAGCAGCACCATAAGAAGAGCATCAGATGGCCCTGAATCAAGGCTGGCAGCTTTCTGAAGCTGTTGGTTTCAATCAGGAGGCAAAGTGGTATCTTTCTATGATCTCACTTGCCACTTGAGAACTTTAGAAAAGTAATGGTCAATTCATCAGAAAGAAACAACACTCCTCCCCTATGTGAGCCCACCTTGAGCCAGAGAAGGGGCTGTTCCCCGGGTTCTGCCATCATCCGGGGAACATCCTTGAGCAGCTGCCCCATACCTCTTGGCTACTCCAGGAACCTCACTCAGATCAGAGGAACCCAAGGGTCAAGCCCAATTCCCTGCACTACAGGCTGGACAGCCAATGCAGGAAATACCCAGGACTCAGACACAGGCTAAGTCAGAGGAACACAGGGTAATGCCAAGAGCAGGATGCAATCTCACACATCCAGCCCACCAAGAACAAGTCCAGAAGACACAGACACAAAGGAAATTAGAAGTCACACGCCCAAAATCTCTGAAATGATGGCAACTGAAGTAAAGAGACAACTCAGTGCTTATATTGTTTAATTAATTTTGCATTCCTGTATCTCTCCCAGAGCAAGTCTAGAGACACAGACATAGAGAAGTTTCTATGAAACTTGCTGAAATTTCTGAGATGATGGGAAATGAAGTAAAGAAACAACTTAGTGCTTGTACTCTTTGGTCGACAGTGTGTGCCTGTGTCTGGTGGACTGAGCATCTGTTTAGTGGATAACACTGTGCATTATAGTAACTATGGTGGATTTCCTACTGTCTTGTTTTTGAAACTCAATATCATTCTCATTGTTTTGTTTTGTTTGGTTTTATTGTCTTTAAAATTAAGATTAAAAAACCAAAAAACGAAGAGAATTAGGGGCTTCCTTGTGCCTACCCTCTGCCTTGGTTTGGCCACTGGGGTCCCCACAGGGAGCTCCAAGGGTGTAAGGAAAGGTGCCAGGATGCTCTCATGCTTTTGCTTGCTCCTTACCAGCCCACCAGGACTGAAGGCCATAGCTTCTGTGACCTTCAGAAGCTCTTCTCCTGCTAATACTGGAGACACAGCCCACAGGGGGCTTACTATTGTCATTCCAGAGATGAGAAGATCCAGGTTTTCAGCAGGGGGCTAGTTACAAAGCAAACAAGTGACAGAGGGCCCCTGAATACAGGTCATCTGCTGCCAAACCGAGATTTTCCCAAACTCCCTAAAACTACAAGTTAAAACCTCCATTTTTAAATGATACAAGTTTTAAAAGATGATTCAATCAAAGTGTGATTTTATAACAAGTGGGAAAGCTGGGCGGATAAGTGTCTTTAGCATTATAAATCTAACTATATTCAAAGTTCAGACAGCCTTTCCAATCTCAAACATAAAAAAGAAACAAAAGATAGCTCCTAACTCCCAAATACAATTTTGCATTTACAAATACTGCCCCTAATTAACCTCCTGCCAAAGCAAACACTTCCTTGTTACTAACTTTACCAATTTTCCATCATTTGGGGAGGGCAGGAAGGCTCACAGAAGCTCTAAACTTTACTGTGATTGCCAGATTTAAGCAATTTGCTATAATTTATTTATTATCCAATTCCATACTTTGGGGAAATATTAAGAGAATTAATATAAAATAGAGAAAATAACTTTTGGTGTGAGTTAATAGTGTATAAGATTAGACAGCAGTGCCAATAATCACAGTTGTACTGCACAATTGTTTTAACCAAACAGGTACCTAATTTATCACTGAGACCATCCTATTCCAAGGGAAAGGACACTGCTCCTTTGTCTCATCCTAAGAAAAAATAAAAAGGAAGTATAAATGGAATTATCCACTTGGAGAAAGGAAATGGTTCCCTTGCTTTCCCTGACACTGAAAGAAAATTCTCAGGATTGAAGACCATAAGGGTTTGCATAAAACCAAATTGAGAACTGTGGTTCAATTTTTCTAGGGTCAGACTGAGAATCTAAGGAAGACTCATCAGATATAAAAATCTCTAAAGAAGCAAAGCAAACTGAATTGTAAACAGTGTTAATAAGACAAAGCCAACTAATATGAAAATAACATGATGCTGTAGACTAGTTTGAAATCCAGTTCCAAACCTGCACACGATTTCTCTGAGCTGGATCTTCTAACCTGTCAAACATACTCACAGTAGCTTATGAAGATGTGAAGATTAAGTGAGACAACCTGTTCTAAAAAGGCTTAACACAGCTACTGGAATATTATGAGCATGTAATAAATATTAAAAAAAATATTATTAGCACCGTCTCTACTAGCAGCTGGGTAAATTTTATAGGTGCGGTGAGTCCCAGATATCAACAAATAAACATCAACAAAACTCTTAAGAAACTGAAAACTGGGCAGAACAGCACCATCTGTTATTTTGCTGCAATGCATAACCTGGAGTCACAGGTAGAACTAGTCTCAGGTATATCTGGCCCCTTTTATGCTATGATTCTACGTATTCTATAGCATATCTTTAAGAACATCCTTAGAAGGGGTACAAGGGACTTCATCAGAATGTCAAGAGAGGTCCATGAACAAAGCCACGAAGCAAGCTGCTTTATTAATCTTGTCAACTTGATGCAATAAGATACAGCTGCAGAGGTGACTGGATTGCAAGGGCACTGACGGCACCAATGGATTAGGCCACTGAGGACTTGATAGCTGAATGTGCTGTCAGGTAACGGGAACTACTGGGGCAGTATGGATCACGGGAGCATGATGCTGAGAATACATGGGGTCCTGGCCCCCTGCTGCCAGCATTTTCCTCTACACTCTGCTTCCTGGCTGTCCCGAGGCTCGCAGTTTTCCTCTGCCATATCCTTCCACCATAATGTTTCTGCCTTGGAGCAGATTGCCACGAATTGAAACCTCTACAACAGTAATAAACATTCTTCCTTAATTTCTGTATGTTAGCTACATAGTCACAATGCAAAAAAACAAATATGCATGCAAACAAAATATAAAACGAAACAAAACATGACAGAGAACCCTATGCGTATAATCCAGTAAGAGAGCTTACCTCTATGAAGTTATGTCAGGATGTACATTATGAAGAGGTCATTCACCATGACATTATAAATTACAATTTCTATGATAGAATATTCTGCTTTGAGCAGCTGATTCTTTACCCTGTGATGTGAGGAAGCAGAGTCCAGGACCTCCTGGTCCCACTTCCCTTGACTCCTCCCACTCGCTCCATGACACTGAATCAGAGGCCCAGCCACTGAAACATGAACAGGCCTCTCCACTCTCCACAAAGCCCTAACTAAAGTTCGTTTTCACAAGCCAAATTTAAAAATCAATTAATAAATTACAACTGCCAAAGAATGTTAAAAAGCCCAAAGGCACCTAAGAAGTGCTTAGAAGAAACAACAAAGCATTAAGCTTGAGATAAATGGGTTTACTGTGTGTTTACTGTAATGTTGACTTAGTATCCCAGAGCAAAAATTCTCTTACCTCCACTTACCACTACTTTGTATGATAATAGCAGCATTAATTTTAAAGTGATCATGAATCAGTCATGAAATCTGACTCTTGTTTTTACTGGAAACAAAACACTCTAATTAGCACCTTGAACAAGAGCAGTGGAGATGGGTATTGGTGAGCACAATCTTCTGCTATTAATTCTTCCCTAATTACCCACAGTAAACAAGGATTGAAGGCAGCTAGGCTTAGGACCTCCAGGCCTTCTATACTAGTCTTAAGATAAAACCTGGGGACTCACTCTCTGCACTAGGGGGCGGAGCCTCCCAACCTTGGCACCCCTGGCATTTTGCAGTGGGGCTGCCTGTGAACCTTGTACTTAGGCCATCCACAGTCTAGTTGGCCTGGATCTACTAGATGCCACTTTCACCCTGTCTTCCCTATTCCCTGGCCCCATATGTCAGACACTACCAAATGGTCTCCAGCAGGCAAAACTGCCTGAGTAAAAACCTTGAAAGAACAGCTTCGGTAAACATAACTTGCAAAAGGGGTTATGTGCTCTAGGTGCATGGTAAGGCTACATGTATAATTAAATATACTTAAAACTGATTAAGGAGTACAGGATACCAAATGGAAAAAGATGGTTCTTTTATCAAGACCCAGTGTAAAAACTGAGTAGATTCAAAGCCGCTCTAAGACTGTGTGGATAGTGTGGCATTGCTACATGCCACTTTTTAAATCAGTTCTGCTGAAGTGTAATTTACATCCACTGCACCACACCTGTTGACACTCTCTGTGCATTTTGATGGAAATGTACAGATTGCCATATACATCTAACACCCCAAGACCGGGGCGGGGGTTCACATTTGAATTTGCTATCAACTCATTCTGAAATGAGAGTAGGCCATATTTTGTATTCCGTAGCAAAAGCTCTTTTTTCATTAACAGCACAAACGTATGATCTGGACTCTTGGAAGCCATGGTCTTCCCATGTGATGAGCTTTCCTGGGAACCAGGGCTGACTTCCTGCGTGACCAATGTAACTGCATACACAGGAGTTCACTGCTCAGCAGCTGCGGTCTTAACACTTTGACATCTGAATTTGCACTTGGTGTCAAAGTCTAGAAGAACAATGGAGCAGATCCTAAGGCCTGGGAACTTGGGGTCATCTAAATGTGTGACTCTCCCAAATCCCTCAGGGCAGGTTCTTGGTCATGTGATTCTGTGCCCACCAGCACCCTGGGCCCCTTCCTCCCAGCCTGCACCTTGAGACCACTGCCACCTGCAGTCCTATTTCTCTGTGCAGAGCAGACCTTCATGCTTCTGTTATCCTCTGTTCCCAGTGGGCTTGGACATGGTGTCATCTTGTCATATTCTAAACCAGTAACTTGGTCCCAGAGTGGAGGTTGCAATTATTTAGGGAAACCTGTCCAATCTTGGTTGGTGTAGTGGGCCCAGAGAAAAAGGCAACTGGAATTCCACATTTTCAAACTGCGATGAGTCCAGTACAATGTACAGGCAGCTGTGCTGGAAACCTCCCTGTTTCAATGTGTTTCTCTGGATATTCATTTGCATTAAGACACCTATGCCAGTGTCCTTGCTCATGACAGCCTGAAGGACTGCTCAGCACCACAATGGTTACTGATGTAAAAACTGGTTGCAAGGATCCAGAACCCTGAGAGCCTTCACAACCCAGCTTCTCAGCAACAGGCCCTGAAGCAGTGAGAAGCAGCCTCCTTTC